GGTGCGCATCAGGGAGGGCGAGGGGGCCGTGCCCCCGGACAGGGCGGCCGGGGCCGCCCTGCTGGTGCTCGCGGGGGGGAAAGGGGAGCGGGAGGGCGCGAGGGGGGCGTGGGGGGAGATGGTCGCATCCAAGGAGAATCGGGACGGCCAAGAGGGGCGACTGTTCCCTTGCGTCAGCCGCCGCCGCCGCCGCCGCCCCCGTTTCCTCCCGAGGACGGCTACGGACCCCGACACCAATCGTTGATGTTTAGACTAGAATGCACATAAAGAGGCGTCAAATGACCTCCAGACGCCATTTCGCTTCTTGCAAATATTCTGTACGTAGTGGAAGCTCGGAAGTGGTTTGTAGGCTATTTAGAGGTGGTTCCACCACCGGAGGTCGGGGGGGGTGGGGGGTGATACCTTGGTTTTGCGGCGAAAGCGGGGATATGGGAGTTTTGTCCCCGGGTATGCATTTTTTTTTTTTCATAACCAGTTCCCTTGTTGTAGAATACACCTGGCCACCAAATGGTGTCTTGTGGGAGAGTAAAGCGAAGGAGAGACATTCGGAACAAATATTGGGGTTCCCGGGGAGAATTCGCCGCAACGGCCTGGGAAAGGTATGCCTGTTGTAACAGGCACAACACCCTCTCCATAACGTTTTTCGCTCTAGTATTTTTTTGTAGAGTCGACATATGATCAGAATGGACCCATCATGCATGAAACTCGTAGTTTTGGCTCTCCTCAAGTTCACAGCACCCGCTGTGCGTCAAAACAGCGCTATTTCAGCCCCGAGAAATATGGTGGAAACCCGGGGATGCGACGGTCGTGGCCCCTGGCTGGATCGATCCCAATTTTGTTTTTCGGCATGGACATGAGTTCAAGCAAAGCGTGTCCGAAAAAAATCAGGTCTTGAAACGCTTTAGATCTCGCGCAGTCACCACATCTCTTAACGGGGGCGGGGGTGTTTTCCACCGTATTATCCCGGAAAAATTAGGGGTACAACAGAAGCCATATCTTCGCAGCACTTACGTTTTTTTTTTTTGGGAGGTAGCCTGTGATGTTAGCTATCGTACGATACCTCGACATCAATGATATTCGTCCTAATTGTCAAGAACGAGCTGTTTGAGCGGAGGGTGGCTTAAGTGTCTCTTAATTAAGTGGTACGTTTACTCTAGTCTAGTNTGTTTTCCACCGTATTATCCCGGAAAAATTAGGGGTACAACAGAAGCCATATCTTCGCAGCACTTACGTTTTTTTTTTTTGGGAGGTAGCCTGTGATGTTAGCTATCGTACGATACCTCGACATCAATGATATTCGTCCTAATTGTCAAGAACGAGCTGTTTGAGCGGAGGGTGGCTTAAGTGTCTCTTAATTAAGTGGTACGTTTACTCTAGTCTAGTCTACAGATGGCGCCCGCACTTAAGAACCTCCAGTTTCGGCCGAGGCTGGGGTTCCTACATTGCCGATCATCCTCTTGTGGGCTACAAATCGCCACTGTATAGGTTATAGTGTAGGGGTTAGTAACTCGGCTCACAAATGGTGCTCAAGTTCTTAGCTTGTAATTTTTTTTCGAGTCGCAATTTCTTAACTAACTGCCAAGTTCTGAAGTGCAGGCGCTATTTGTACGAAACTGCTTGTTGTCTGCGTTTATTTTATCATTACATTGCAGTAGCATCGACCGCGCTAACCGGCTGGCCGATGAAAAGACGTCAGTCTCAGTGCGGTGATGTATATGCATCTACGCATACCTGTCGTGTATGTGTACTGTGTTTACCACCCAGATATATTATGCGTAGACCACAATTTTGTCGCGAATCACGCTTACACCGGGTGGGTATGAAACCTGAACCGTACAAAAGGTTGCGGCTGTTGCAATCTTGGTGTCAATTTCCACTTTTCTTACCTTAGTGTGCGGAACAGACTACCACGTGTTCCATACTCAAGGAATGAAATTGTCCGTACAAAAAAGTGCAACATTCTCGTGTACCTTCCACAAAAAGAGAATGCTCCAAACGCTCCAGAATATCGTGTTAGAAAGCCGTGTCGCACACTTTCACCAGGAAGCATCAAGCTGACTTGGCGTTAATTATTCGCCTCGTAGAAGAGGAGTCTACCTGCAAAGACATGTAAGTTCCTCAAGCAAGCGCGCAACATCAAATGATATCGATCATCCGCAGATACTAACTAGATGGCTCACCGCACAGCAATACACGAACGCCTACCTCCCAGTTGAGTCACGGACACAAAAAAATGAACCCAACGGGAATAACGCACACAAAAGCACTCACCTGTCGGTGGATCAAAAGATAAGTACTTGTGATTTATTTCCTACGTCCCGCAATTAAAAGGTGTGCGTCATCGAGGACCAAGTAAAACCAAGCGGCTACATGCCGCAGGAAGTTGTTGTGCGGACAAGGTCGTGCCGGGAGATGAACATGAAAAGTTTCCGTGCATTTGTGAACCACCTCTACTACCTGCAAGGAAAAAAACACAGGTTAATTCATCCTGCTGTATCTGTAGCCACGTCTACATAAGGAAATGAAGAACCACATGGTGACCAATAGTGACAAATCTCTCGTTTCCAAAGAAGCGACCAAAAAGAAGCGAAAGTCGCGGGCCCTCCGCTCCTCACACCTTTAAACTCCCCCCCTCAGCACCACAAAAAAAAGCGAGAGAAACGTAACAGTTGAGGGTTTTCAACATGGAGTACCGCCAAACGCTAAAAAGCGCAGAGTGAAGCGCTAGGCAATCCGACAACAGTCCTAAAGTCGCTCCGACCCTACACCCCCACCTCCGGCCTACGAATGAAAAAAAAGTTTGCCGGCAGCTGGCAGAGATCTACCCCCAAAACAAAACGCTGAGTAATTGTTGGTGGGCACGGACCAATAGAAAACGAAATGTATGCGCGCATGGAGCTCTTCTGCTGCACAGAACAGATCCACGTGATCCAGGGTTCTCCCTCTACCAGCGATTCCCAATCCGAACAACCCTCAACCTTGCATCTAGAGTACGTAATGTTCGCCCGTCAACAACCAACCGCCCAACATATTTTCGGTGGACAAGGGCACCTCGCCAGGCCACTTCCAAAGACTACATGAAAATCCCAGGGATCAACAATAAAAAAAACAAGGCTTGCGATATTGAGAAACCTCCCGATAAACTGCTGGTGATGATAGAAAGCTGCCAATTCTGGGCCCGCACACCAAAACAAAAGGAGGAGCAGGAAGCAGGGAGAAGGAGCACGCACCGAAAAAACTCAAAAACACATATATACGTCGACAAATCCATTTCAACGACTCGCGCCCCCCCCATCACAACTGATGGCTTTTAGGGCCAACAAA